AGGAAACGGAACTCAAATAGGCACAAAAAAGTGCTAAGTATCTGATTAGCGGAGAAAAGCAGCAGAAAAAGCAGTCCGAAATGTTATAGAGAAAGATAACATAGTGGCTACTAGCTAGTAGCTAGCAGCCGGTGAGGGTCGGCATGGGCCTAAGGGGTGTCCATGGGCCTAATTAGTCAGCTTCTAGCGGAGTTCTTGCCGTTTTTCACATTTTGAAAGTAGCGCAGCCTCAAAAATCGCCTTCCGGATCGTCCGACACATTTGAAGTATCTACCATTAGTTTTTTCGCGAATGTGCCTTCAAGCATTGTAATTAACCGTTACAGTTCTTGTCCCTATAGCGGCTGGTTGCTTGTAGCTCACAACGGGTCAAAGCGAACATGCCCTTCGCTGATTATCGAGGCGGTTTTACCTGATTACTATGCTTTTCTTGGTATGTCATGCGCGTCACTCGATGCCATCCATTTAAGAAAGGCCAATACCTTCTCGCATCAATGATCTTCTTCAGCCTCTGACTTCGACTACCCTTTTAGGTCTGTAGTATACAGTAGTGTTTACTACTAAGACGCCCACAACTTATTCGATGAAGAAGAAGAGATCGGTTTGGCGCAGCTCCAGCCCGTTTCATCGCTCGTATCAGTCGCTTTGCGCCAGTTGTTGTCGCTTCAACAGCTGATGGAGAAAGGGCTGACGGCGCGCCAAACCCAGCCTCGCTGAGGCTACGTCCATACTTTGCGGCAAGTATGCATCGAGTATGTACTTTACTATAAGTATACATCGATCTAGCGCCTGTGAGCGTCTGCCTGCGGCTCTCACAGCAACGGGAGCAGAGTAGTATGGCGGGACAGTAGGAGCGGCAACTACAAGAGTGGATTAGGCGTCAAGAAATTGCGGCTGTAACCGCACGGTACAACTGCAAGCAGACAGGTCTGCAATTTCAGTGTACATTTAGCTTGATCATCACATCTAGGTATGGACTGGGGTAGCGTGCATCACTTTCGCCTCTCGAAAGTGTGATATAAAGCGGTCACAGACGCGTGGCTCTTACGCACTTTGGCTTATTATCCAGGGCAAGCAGCGCAGCACGTAAACTCGCGGAAGAGTGGAGAAGCTAAGATTCTCTGCGACGATGAAATCGTCCTACGACGCTGCATGCAACAAAATGCATACATGTAAATAACTCACCGTGTATGTCATTGTCTTGTAGACTGAAAAGAACAAAGTGTGCAAGAGTCATGCTCTGTGGCCGCTTTGTATCACTCTTTGCCGAAAGTGGTGCACGCTATGCGAGTACCGATCTAGATGATAAATGCACGGAGGCATTTCGCTGGCCACTTGACGGCGGTAAATGTCTTTAATCAGCACGGATACGTACGTGACTTCGCATGCTTACAGTCGCCTAAGCGATTACGAGGCGAAAAGGGAGCAAAATCCAGCGCTGAGCGATTGTAAGCTTGAGGTCATGAACTTTCTGGCACTTTGCCGAATAGTAGGACAGCTGCGAGCGTACGGTGGTACCTTACTCATTTAGCCGCTCGGTTATATGACAGCTTAGGTAAAATGAGGATCAACGCGTACTTATTGTGCACAATGTCCGAAAAACAATGAACTTGCTATTGGAGTGGACATACCTGTCCTATGATTGATTCTTGGGCTCTGCAGAGTTCATTTAACTTCGCGTTCAGCTCGTAAACCTTCTTGCGCTCGTCCTCGAACTGATTCTTTTCTTCGAGAAGCCTGGATGTAGAGGTCGAGGGATGCCTTTTCACTCAACTTATTATTTTACTTGTACTTATCTATATTGTAAATCTGAGTTAATACAGTATGTGTGCAGTAGCAAGTTACAAATAAATGAACAATGCGCTGTCAGCCTCAGGGGTCATTCTACTAGTTCTCATCAAGAAGGAGATCTGCAAGCCCCTGTGAAGCTATGAAATGGGCTCAGCGAGCAGGCCACATTGTGAAGACCTACAAAATCTTGTAAAATCAGAGCAGTCTCATATAACAAAATCACATCATTTCTCGAGTATACTGCGGCCAGAGCGTTTCCCCTTGAACTCACAAAATAGCCGCAGCGGCTCGTTGGAGCCCTTTGGGGCTTCACAAGAGGTTACGGGTCTCACCAATGTGAGTAGTTTGAAGAAAATGGCAAACTCTCAAAATGCCTCTCCCCTAAGGCGGACAGCGCTGTAAAAAAATATGTAGTAGCAGGTAAGTGAATAAAGGGTAAACAAAAAGGTCAACCTCTGCTCACGATCCTTTAGCTGCTCTTCTCGTATCCGTAGATTTGTTTCTTTTTCAAGTAGTGACCGATCTGAGATCGTGGTGACACTGTCAGCCAATTGATGCAGGGTGGAAGATAAGGTGTCAACCTTGTTAACCACGGTAGTCACATCTCTGAACATTTGAATTTTATTCTTTCAAAAAACCAAAGGCGTACTGAAGGTTGGTATGAATTCTGCGGAACAGAAAGGCACATTTCGCGATTACTCATAGGGTCGGAATCCTGTGTGGAGAATGTTAAAATGGATCGCAATGGACAACCTTGTAGCATCATAGCGTCAGAAGTTGAGGGGTAATGGCGTTAAAGCTCGAGGTTGCTCAAGCGACTCCACCTGAGCGCAAGTGACCCTTCCCCCAGCTGGTGATGTTGTTCGCTTAGGATACTTTCGACGGTTCCCTACGCAGTGTTATTCACGAGTAAGCCAACTAGTACATAAAGTTCCCTCGCTTTATCGGGAACTTTATGTAGTAGTTGGCTTACTCGATTCTATCCCTGTAGGAACGACTAATCACGGGTTCTGTCTGCCTTTAACCACTTCAATCTTATTAGCAGCAGACTCTGGAGCGTGTCAGTGGAAAGGGGGGGGGGGGAAGGTGGGTTTGGCGCAGCGCCAACCTGTTCTCCATTAATTCATAAAGCGAGCAGGTGAAAACTTTGGTGGAGAGGCCCCTGACACGCCCAAGCATCTGGAACGAATAAGAGTGTACGTTTTCGTACCAGAAAATGCTCTACCGTACCAGACATTCTACGGTGACTATCGTATTTTACTAATACTGTACATACCTCCACTCTCCAGTAGATTGCTGTATGACTTCTATTTGTCGAGCGTAGGTGGTTTTCAAATTTTCTAACTCCTTTTCATGTTCCCCGTTCAGTTTGGATATTTGCTTTCTAAAAACTTCGAAATCATATTAAAAAAAAATCGTGGAAAAATTTTGGAAACGCCGGTAGCGGCTATAATTTCAAGTAACTCACTGATAGTAGTCTTCTAAACTTTTCAATTCATCAGAACAATCACGATCCTTTTTCGATAGCTTTTCCTTCCATAAATTCTCAAGATCCGCTTCGTCTTCCTTCTTCTGCCTCTTCAGCTCATTAATTTCTCGATGGAGCCGTTCTATTTCGTTTTCCAGCCTGGAATAAGCAACATCTACACGGTATTGAAGTGGATTGAAATGGGAAGTCACTACCTTTTCTCTCTCAGTACGTCTTCTGGAGGCCGCACTGGAGGAGCAGCGGGCGTTGGAGCTGCAGTCGGTGCTGCCGCTGGTGGTGCTGGTGTGGCTTCCTTTTCTCTTCGAGAGGGACCGAGCAGAGCTCCTAGTGTTCCAGTGCTCCTTGGTTGTTGACGTGCAGGACGAGCTCTGTATCGAAGATTATTGAAGTGGGAAAACGTTAAATATGTGCAATTTTTTGAGATAAAAAATCATTTTACAACATCAGTCGTAACTCTGTAAATTCCAGTAATTTTAGCATAAAGGATACACTGCACTCCGACCTGCAAGATTGCTCTTTCCCTTGGGCGAGGTCGACAGGCCTGCACCTATAGAACTGTGCCACGTTTATCACTCGAAGATTTACGAAACTGGAGCGTTGTGATAGCTCGATGCTGTTTTGGACTCCGCCCCATCACAACCTGCGGCATGCTTGTCGCTACCCGCTACCGAGTGGCCGCAGTGAAAAACATGAATGGCAAGCTGCCTGAAGCATCCAACTGTAGAGAACAAGCGAAGGTGAGGGCGCAGACAAGCAGCGCTGTTTGGCTATAGTTAGGCAAACGCGTGGTCGTGCAGCACGTTGCGTTTGTGCGTGCTTTGCCTGTGGGTGCAGTCTTGAACACCATCTAGCTAGCATAACTCTCCAACCTCAATTGGGCCCAATTTCGAGTGACGAAAGTGGAGCATTTCTACAGCTGAGTACGCAACACATTCGTACAGGGGAAGAACTATCCTTGAAGGCGGAATACATGAGAAATTAGAAATTGCCGTAAGAAAAGCAAGGTGCGATCACTCCTGCTGGTCAGGTTGGAGCACTTATTTAAAAAATGTAATCCAAACACAGTCTGTGCCGGCGTTGAAGTTCCAATTGCCCCAGAATCGGTCGTCGATGTTTCCGCAAATAGGTCGTCCAGTGCACTTTTTCCTGGGGCCTGAAACTCATTGACTTTTCCGGTATGGATTTTGTAAGATCCGTGAATGTATTTGAAATTCAAAAGTATTTGGGGTTCCAGAGACTGTCGTGACGAACATTTAGGAAAAGATATTAATTTGTGTAAAATATTGATTACAGCTATGGTAATGGCCAGCCTGTACGCCTACAGCCCTAGTGAACAAACGCTGCACTCTATACTGAGTGGTGGCTCAAACAGTCGCCTTTTGGACAGCTTGGTAGTCTAAGAACCCACGTACGGGATTTTTTGTAGATCTTTATGAGAGTCCCTTTATTCTTCAATCTTGTTATAAAAAATTCAGAGGGAGGTCTTATATAACTCACATGTGGCGCTGTCGTGGAAGAGGAGCCTCCGTCTAAAAACGATACTGCCGTCGCCTTTTTCGGTGCCGTCTGGAAAATGAATGTCATTTTTCAATCATTTTGTTTTATTCACTTTATTCTATTCATTTCACAGAATGGAATACCTTTCTAGTATCTTCGAAAAGAGAGTCGAGGTTTCCCAGTGACGGTTTCGCCTTCACTCCGGTTGGTCTTCCGAATAGGGCACTGTCCAAATCATCCATTTCCTTAATTAATGCTACAGTAACTTATCGATCCGTCAAAGACTTCTTTGAACACTTCCACTTTTCATGCCTTTGAAGCTGCCTAAGTCTTTAGCTGTTGTCAAAAAAAACCTAGAGGGAAGTCCGTTTTCTTCACGTGCTGGTCGATCCGTCCTGTGCCATTTTTTGTAGGCTGATAAGGTTATAGAAACTTTCCAAAAGGAGGAAAAAAAGGAGGAATGCCTGTTTGTTCAAGATTATGGCAAGTCGTGGGTAACTTGAACAAATGCTACAGTCATGATTCTTGAAACGTTAGGGCGTGTGACGCGGCGCTTATTAGCGCAGCCAGGGAGCCCTTTTTCCATGGATTATGCCATCCCGAGCCAGCTACAATTGGGCGAAAAATCTGATCTACCTGCGTTTCAAGTACGCCCCGTCACATGCTCTATCGTTTGCACGGATGTCTGTAGAGTATTGTGACAAATGGAAACTTTTTGTAAATTTTTTTTTGTAAGATGGGAGAGATTGAAAACTTTCCGCGATGTTAGCGAGAGCCTAAAGCGAGAGCAGAAACGGTGCTTCTGATTCGTCGAGGATCACTTGGGCTCGGATAACCATTTCTGGGTAGAGTGCCCATCAATGTAAGTGAGTTGTATTCAGTTTAGTGCAGTTCACAAGCGTTCTCTTGTTATACTTAAAGACAG